TCCAAGTACACCTGCGGTGCCTAAACCCTAAACCATCTTGGAGAGCCTCAAAGATAGGTGTTCTCGGGGCTCAGAGTTTCAGACTGCCATTACGGCTTGAGGCTCAGGGCTTTGGATTTAAAAAACGTTAGACTTTCGGGTTTAGGGTTTAGGGCTTATGGCTTTGGATTTATTAATGTTTAGCTTTTTGTTTAGGGTTTAGGGCTTTATATGTAAGGTCTAGAGTTTCGGGCTTAGGGCTTTAGATTTAAGGTTTAGCGTTTCGGGCTTAAGGCTTAGAGCTTTTTTGTTTTGCGGGGAGGCTGCGCTCACAGGTTCACCGCTTGCGGCGCGGATTTGGACTGTCCTTTTCTTCGTTTTCCCTGAGGGTCCATGTACCCAAAGAGTAGATACTTTGGCCTTAAAGGAAAGTGGGGCATAAGTATAATATACTATTTGGGTACATGGACCCTTAGGGTTTCAGGTTTGAGCATTTCAGGTCGGTTGCAGCATCACGCGGGCCAGGGCGAGCAGCCAAGGAAACATGAACCCTAAATCTTAAACCTTAAATTCCTAAACTCCGAATCCCTAAACCCTTAACCCTTAAACCCCTATATAACCCCTAAACCCCTCTAAACACTAAACCCCTGAACAGCGATTTAACCACAGAAGGTTCCTAGGCTTAGGGTGTTTCGGGCTGGGAAATCCCGATAATTGCCCAGTTGGGAGGATGATGGAGCTTACTTGGAAGGGCAGGGGACTTAGTAAGTAGGATTATAAGTAGGGGTATAATTGGGGTAACTCCATTTAGGGTACCTATAACTCTACCTATAACCTACTTACTAAGTCCCCTGCCCCTCCAAGTAGTAAGTAGGGAGTACGTACCTTCATCGGGGTAATAAGCAACTACAAACTTGTCGGGTATCATGGGGAGCTAAAGGTTAACCTTTTTGGTTATGTAGGGATTGTACAGGGACTATACTACCCCAAAAAGGTTAAAGGTTGCCTACTCTACTACTAGGATTATAACTGTAATTACCCTACTCATAACCCCAATTACTAAGTCCCATGATCCTTTAAGTAGACCCTAAGCCCTAAACCCTTACAGTACCCCTATAGATCCCTTAAAGGGACCCCTTCAGGACCAAAGTTACTAAGTCCCATGATCCTTTAAGTAGACCCTATAAACCCTAAACCCTTAGAGTACCCCCCCTTTAAGGGACCCCTTAAGGACCAAAACTACTAAGTCCCATGATCCTTAAAGTGGACCAGCCTGGTCCTGGACCGAGGCTGCACAGGAGGCTGCATGGGGATCGTTGCAGCGCATGGTACTGGCGCAGATGTAGACTCCAAAACCCTACCTAGACCCCGAAAAGTAGGTTTAAAATAATGGCCCAGAACCTATGAAAGGCTATTATTGTACCTGCTTTTGGGGTCCAGGTAAACCCTAAACACTAAAGCCCTAAACCAAGTACGCTGAAGGCTAAAGCTGGCTTGTCCCCAAGCCAGTGTGTAACCAAGTCATCCAATAGTTACTCAGGCCATTGCAGCCCCGGAGAAAGCCATGCCCAGCGTGGAGGATTGAGCCATGTTCAGCAAGTCTGGGGTTCAATTTGGGATCGAAGGTTCAAGTTCTAAAGATGTCGGGCGTACCTTGAACCCATACTGGTGCTTGACCACCGAAATCTAAGGTGTGTGGGTGGTTGTGAAAATTAGGGCCCCTTTTTGGGTCCTTATTCTAATACGGCACCTATCATCTAGGGTACACAAAAAGGGATCATTATTTTGACAACTAGGGGTTACTATAAGGGATCAACGCTAATTGGGAGGTTCCGAGGATTGGGGGAACCTCATTCAGGGTACCCAAAAAGGGATCATAATTTTGAGAACCGCCCGTGTGTGGGATTCAGGTGTCGGCTCTGCGGCTTCGACACTGGCAAGCAAACTTGACAGATAATCTTACCTCCGGTTAGTAGGGAATGGAAGAATGGTAGTAATGTCTGCTGGCCAGACTCTGTGCTTTCTGCCGCGATCGCGCGAACAGAAGCGGACCAGGTAGCAAAAGTCTTTCGTCGCACTTGTGTTCTCTACTCGATCGAAGTCTGGGCACGACGAACGACTGCTACTACTGAGGGCCACATCCTCAACCCCCAAAAACCCTAAAACTCCAAATCCTCAAACCCCAAACCCTATACTGAACTTGCAACCCTTCCAAAAAATGCAGTTTCAGCAGTTTCGGGCTGATGGTTAAAAAGCACTTCGCCTCGGCCCTGGCCCAAGCGGTCGGAGTTTCGCACAAGGACCGCGGGGACCTTCCCCCTTCCCCGCCCGGGGTACTGTATGCTGGGCGGACCGGCCAGGGACCCAAACCTACTTGTCGGATATCATGAGGAACTAAGGCTAACCTTTTTGGTTATGTAGGGCTTATGTAAGGACTCTACTACCCAAAAAAGGTTAAAGGTTACCTACTCTACTACTAGGCAAACTGGCGTTGTTTTGTCCCAACCCGGTTTCCTGCCCCTCGCTTTCCTGTCTTCAAAGGCCAAGACGGACACACGCGATCTTGTCTACGCCTGCGTTGCACCTTAATCCATCCCATCAATCCCACCCACCCAATCCCACCCGCACAGATGGCCCTCACCACAAACGGCCGTCACGTGGACGACGCGAAGCGTTTAAAATTTAGAAAAGGCATTCAAGTAGGTGCAACCCCGATCGCCCAGAAACAAACCCTAAATCGTAAACACCCTAAACCCTAAACCCTAAATCCTAAACCCCCAAAGCCTGGAAACGGGAAAACTGAGCGGCGTAGATGATCCGGGCCTCTGGTGGCCTGTGGCGCCGGCGGAGGCTGCCTCGGGTCTGCATTCAAGGAGTAAGGGATTTTAGGGCTCAGGGTTTAGGGTTCCCAGTTCAGGGTTGCCGCGTTACAGGGTTCAGGGTTTGGGATTTAGAGTTCAGAGTTGTAGAGTTCAGGGCCTAGGGCTTCAGGAAGTTTCTAGCTTAGGGTGTTAGGGTTTATGGCTGCGGATTTGGAACTGAGGGTTTGAGGTTTAAGGGGTTCGGGTCTGTAGAAATCCCGCAAGTGCACGCAAGCCGAGCCAAATTGAGCTTCCGGCATCGCCGCCATCATGCTGACGAAGGCTTTCTACAGTGGGCCTTCTTGCCCAAAGTGCGAGGCACCCTAAATCCTAAATCGTAAACCAAAAACCCTAAGATGGACCCGAACACTACAAGAACCTTAAGGTTTACGTCTACACCAGCTTGCTTGGTCTGATAGGTTGCGCTTTAGGACTCATGGCTTTTAGGATTCGACCACTTGTGTGTGGGGGATGTAAGATCTGGCTGGGGTTTAGGACGGCGGGTTTTCGGGGTATTCGTGGTTTTGCCTGCAGGTCGCCTGCCCTGCGCAAGCCTTCAAACTTTGAGCACACAGCGGCGGGGGAAGCAGCCAGGATATAAGCAGTGAGTCAACAAGAATAGCTAGATCGGGTCCGGTTGAGGTGATGAGCACGCTGGGCTTAGGGCCGTAAGGTCAATTAAGGGCCTCAATGAAAAGGTTAAAGTTCGTGAGTTGCATGGTGACGCAACATTTCCCAGGCTTGGACGGAACCGTAAACCCTAAACACAAACTGCAGCGACGCAGGCTCCTTCAAGTTGGCTCAACTCCTATCCTTTTCACTCATTAGAACTGATTACTGATATTTTGGGCGGGCAGGTGGCTAGGCTGCTAGACACCATCCACTCAACCTCCTCCCTAAACCTTGAACCCTGGAGCCTCGACCCTAAACCCTCAAACCCAACGCAGCAAGAAAGCGCTTCAAGATTAAAGGCTTCGGGTCCACATATAAGCTACGGCAAAACGGCTAAAACTGGAGTGTTAAGATAAGCGGTCAAGGTCCCACAGCAAAACATCTGAGGCATCGAGGTCAACACTAGCATCCACGGAACATTCGATTCTTTTAAGCTTCGTGAGCTGCACACCTTGGGTGTAGAGTCTGGGACGCGACATGCCAGCCCAGATAGGGTGCTCACGTGCTGCCAGGAAAGCTGTTCATCAAGCCAACCCCTAAACCCTAATACAGGGGCCTTAACATTAGAATGGGGTCTCGCGGCCCCTTTTCCTATAGCTTATAGTAAGGGGCCACCCCCAAAATATAGTATAGGTAAGTATTAAGGCACCCTATCTTTAACCCTAAACCCTAAACCTACCCCAAATAAATAGAATAGGTAATTGTTCAGGCCCCCTATCTTAAACCCTAAACCCCACACCCTAAACCTTAAACCGGTCTTAAACCATAATATAAAAAAAAAACGAGCTGATAGGATGACTTTAACCCTAAACCCCTAAACCTTAAACCGGTCTTAAACCATAGAAACGAGCAGACAGGATGAGAGCCGCTGGCGCCGGATCCTCCACTGTACATGGCTCTCTCGGGGTGGCCGGGAGCCGGAAACCATGACATCCCAGAGACTCCAGTATCCCTTGATTAAGGTATATGCCTGCAATCACATTAGGGATCCTAGTATATTTTAAGGTAGATTTCCTAATAAAGGGATATTGGAGTCTCTGCGTGTCCCAGTTGCTGAGTTTCCAAACATGTTTCTTATTGTTGCCTCTGGCCCCCATTAGCTTAACGTGTCGATGATGCAACATCTTCGATCCTCTCTCTGTCTCTCCCTCTCTCTCTCTCTGTGTTTGCCTTCCTGCCTGCTTGCCTGCCTGTCCCTGTCCTGTCCCGTCCGTCTGTCTCTCTGTCTCTCTGTCTCTCTCTGTCTCTCTCTCTCTCTCTCTGTCTCCCTCTCTCTCTCTCTCTCTATATATATATATATCCCTCTCTCTCTCTCTCTCTCTCTCTCTCTCTCTCTCTGCTCTCTCTATAAAAGTATAAATTAAAGATAGGTGCACCTGCATTCGTACCCCAACAAGTTTAATGTCGCCAACTCAGCTCCTGAGGCGCGGAATCAGAAGACAGGCTCATTTGCCCTGCTTCATCATCAGCGAGCGCTTCTTCCTTAGCTCCAAGGCTAAAGGGGGGACCCTTAATATGGACCCTGAGGTATATACCCTTAATATAGCTATTATATACCCATTATATAGCCCATTATAGGGTATGGGTCCTCATTAAGGGTCCCTCCTTTTCCCCTTTGATTAGCTGCTTCGCCAATGCGGGTTCTCCAGATGACGTTGCACGTAAGGCTCGGAAACGCATATCCCAAATGTCAGAAACCCCCTGTATGTGCCTGTGATGTAGAGGCCTGAGTAATTCTGAGTTGTCCTTTAAGCCCTTTGAAAATTATTTACTATAATGGTTCTCTACAAAATAGTAGGGGAAATTTAAAAACTACCAAAAAACAACCCAGAACTGGACTGGGTTGAAAGGGCTTGATGAGCTTTTGGGCCCCTTGCCAACTCTCTCTCTGTATCCCTACACGTTTTTGAGCCCCAAAACGTAAACCCTAGAAAAGGGAGGGACAGAGAGCCTTTTATAAAATTAATATTTTTATTAATATTACTACTACTATTATTAAGAATAATATACTTTGCACCAAAACCGTAAAGCCTAAACCCCTAAATCCTAAACCTGTACATGAGATGAACCCTAGTCCCTAACATAGGGGCCTTGATAACTACCTATATACTATTTTGCAGTTCCGTATTCTACTTATAGTATGATGGGCTCCCAACCCCTATTCGAACTATTAAAGACACTAAGTTCTTATGGCAGCCCTTATAATCCCCTGTAAAAGGAACCCTTTAAAGGAACCCTATTTGGCGGTTCGTAGGTAGTTCTAAGTGGAGTATATGGGTCATAACTATAGTTACCCTACTTATAAGCCCACGTATAACTACCCATGAACCTCGAAGTAAACCCTAAACCCTACACGCTTTAAAGGGACGCTAATAACTACCCATGAACCTCCAAGTATTCTAGTTATTAAGGCCCCGACACTAAAACCCTGAGACCGCCGCACGTCTCCCTTAGTAGAAGCCCCTTACAGGTGGGTAGTTCTTCTTCCATAGTACTCCCATAAGACCCCCTTTACCCTATAGGAGTGGTATGGGAGGCTTATGGGAAACTACCCACCTAACCCCAAGGGTCCAAGTACCCAATAATCATATACTCTCCCAAATCCTAACCTACATAACTACTATCCTAAATCCGAGTACATAATTATTGGGTCCTTTGGACCCTTGGGGCTAATAACTACCCACCTGTAAATGGCTTAGACTTAGCCCCAAAAGCCCGGAGGCCTGAACCCAAAGACGATTTTGCGCATGACTTTCCAAATGTTTCCGGTGCACCTGACTTGTAAAGCCCTATTCAAAAGTCCGCATAAAACATCCAGCCCTGAAACCCAAACCATACATACCCTAAGAATCGAAATAGACCGAAACAGGTACTAGGTATAGATCTTAAACCCAAAGTAGGTACTGTTTGTATACTTAGAGCCTGAGGGATACGGCAACCTTAAGGAATCACTCGACCCTAAACCCATAAAACCCTAAACCTTAAACCCCCCCGACCCCTGATCCTTAAGGAAAGCCTTTCTAAATCTCGTCCTTGTATACTTGGAGCCTTAGGGATGCGGCAGCCTTAGGGAAACTGAACCCTACACCCCTAAACCCAAAAACCCGAACCCGTAAACCCTAAACACTAAAGCCTTTCTGAATCTCCTCCTCGGTGCTGGGTCTTCTGCATCTGGGTCTCCTCGTCGCCATTGGGCTTCCACAGGCCTCTGAGATGCTCGGACTCTGGGTTTTTGGGGTTTGGGGTTTAAGGCTTTGGGGTTAGGCTAGGATACCCAGTAACCTAAGAATAAAAAGGCCTCTCTTTTTGGCATTGGGTAGCTTTATAAGGAACCCAGGACTACAAAAGGGAATAAGGGTACTACTGGGCATCCTAGTAGGGTTTAGGGTTCAGGGTTTAGGGCTTGGGCTTTAGGGATTTCGGATTAGGGTTGAGCCACCTAATATAGGGGCTTGACTACTTCAGACTGGGGGTCATTGGCTTTCTGCTAAAAGTATGTGACGATTCCCAAGGACTGGTCACTACGGTTGATAATAAAAATCCTGCATTACCTTAAGGGCCCTAAACTATGGGAGTTATGGTATACTCCTTATTATGGGTAATGCAGGATTTATATCATCAACCGTACTTCAATTTATTCCCCAAACCTCCACACCCTGAAAGCCGGCACCCCTGAAGGTACGCCTGAACCCTCGATCCCTACACCCTAAACGCTCAAACCCTAAACCCTCGAATCCTAAACCCCACTCCGCAACCCTGGAAAAAGAAACCCTGAGACATCGAACTGAGGACTTCCAGATTCCAATACGGTTTAGGATTTAGGATTAGGGTTTAGGCTTTAGAACTAAGGTATAAGCTCCGAACCCCGAGCCTTCAACCCCAAACTCTGCCTCGAACCCTAGGTACCAACGATGGCCTCGGTGCAGCACCTCGGCAGCAGCATCGTGAACCTAGCTTTGGTCGTCGGGCTACGGGGGCTTGGGCTTCAGGTTCAAAGCTTTGAGTTTAGCTGTGCAGAGCCGTATGTGGGGCTTCTAAAGGCCTTTAAGGAGTCGGCAAGACAACTAGGATATCAGGCCAGGGTAACTAGGATACCGACTTGGAGAGATTATGAGCTATTCCTTCCAGCCTTTGCAACCAACATCCCTTGTTTTTTCTTTGAGAACTTCAAGGCCTATATCTCCCACTACAAGGCCTGTAGGACCGTGTGACTGTTTGTTACATTACATTATTACGAGCCTACACGAGAGGGGGCCTTACGACACGACGACGACGACGAAAACGACGGCTACACTGACGACACGAGGAACCTGGAACCCCAAGGCTGTAGGACTGTAGGACTGTGTGACTGTACGAGGAACCTGGAACCCCAAGGCCTGTAGGACTGTGTGACTGTACGAGGAACCTGGAACCCCAAGGCCTGTAGGACTGTGTGACTGTTTGTTACATTATTACGAGCCTACACGAGAGGGGGGCCTTTACGACACGACGACGATGAGACTGTTTGTTAAAAGAGGTCTTTTCATCACATCAGGCTTCCCTGGTTGTTGTCTGTCAGTGCAAAATAATTTCGAACAACAGTCTTCAGCCAGTCATGTAG